ACTAGAAGTAAGAGGAGGTTGTCATTTTTATCACAAAGGATACATTGGCAGGAAGAAACCTGTCAGCTATGCAGAATGAAAAATGTGTGATTTAAATGAAGATGGGATGATTCACCTGTATACTTTTCTCCCAGACCCAGTTGTGCTCCATCAGTCTTTTAAGCAGATTGGGGAGGGGGGAGGGGGGGCTCTGTAGCATTTGGAAGACAGCTCCAGTGTGAATGTGTGTCCATCCTATAACAAAATCTGAGAGGGGAACTTGTGCAGCTCTTTTCACTACTACATGATTGTTATACTCATTTGTGGGCATTAATTTTGTATTTACAGGCAGTCTCCCAGTTACACACAAAATAAATTCTGTAGGTTTTTTTTCTTAACTTGAATTTGTATGTAAGTCAGAAAAAGTACATTTCTAAATATAAGACACATTTATATATTTATAAGCTTTGGATATCATAGGGAAGGGTTAACACCCCTGTTTTGCTATCTATGCTCCTGTTCAGAAGATTTCACCTCACTTCCTATCTCTGTGGTAATTGGATTTTGAAAAAAAAATGTCTTGTTGTGGAAAGGATTAGTGAGAAAACTTCAGTTGAGACATCATTTCCCCATGATAACTCTTCCAGGAATTAATTTCTCTTTTGAGAGGTAGATTTCTCTCACTTCCTGTTTTCTCACCTCCGTTCTTAACTATGAGTCATTTGTAAGTTGGATGTTTGTGGTTCAGGGACTGTCTGTACATTGTCCATAATGTTTTATATGACTCTTTAAGTTCCACTTTGGAAATAGAGTAAAATGAAAAAAAAAATCAGTGGAATGGCAAATAAAATTAAGATATTTTAAACTGCCTGTAACGTATAAAAATATGCAGCTCAAATGCAGAAATTATCTATTGTTTATTCAAGCTATAACTTGTTTTATTACCATAATTTAGGTTTCAGGCTTCACTGATCTAGTAAATTTTCAGTTGCTAATACTGATTATGAGATACTCTGCCTCTGGAGTGGTTCGTAAAGTTCACACATTTGGAAATGAAAGGCTTCCTCTAACTATGGGCTAAAGCCAATTTAGCCAATTCCAGCCAGAATAAACCCATTGACTCAATGGGGGCTTAAGTATTGATTTAATCTCATTCATCCAATAGATTTGCCTTTGTTAGAACTAACAATTTGACATAATCCTATAGACCTCATAATTTGTTTTTCATATATGAGCCCCTTGTTGCTTCATTGCAATTTATTCTTATAATTAGTGACTATCTACTCAGTGTTCGTTGTGAAAAATATGTGGCTCTTCAGGAACAAGTTAGCGAGATGAAATAAAATGGCAGTAGGAACAACCAGGTTCTTGTTGTGGCCAATGAAGAGAGATTCAAAAGAGAGTTTAGCTTTTAATGAACATTAACTGGATATAAGGCACCCTGAAAATTAAAGGTAAAATTCTGAGTGTTTGATATATGGAGGCGAGGGTCATCATAAAGTTGAAAGTTCATCAACGAAAAGGCTTTTAGAAAGTTAGATAAAAAATATTTTAAATAACAGAATTTAAATGGGTAAAGCAGACAATTTCAGAAGAGAAAAAGTTACAAGTCAGGATAATACTTTGATAATGGACCTGAGTATCAGAGTTTATAGTCATGATGACATTGAAGGAAGCACCGTAAAACAGAAAACATTCATCATCGTTGGACTGCTTAGTTCAGGACTAAGTATTCTGACCTTGATTCTTTTAGGAGATGGATCATTTCAAAGCCTAAATATAGGGGGAAGTGGTCTCTCAGATAAAGTTACACTTGATTTAGCACCAGGTAAAGTTCCTCTTCTGGCTAAATTTAAAGGGATGTTCTTTAATTAGGATAAAAATGAAGAATTGCTTCCAATCGTCTCTACTAGTTTTAGGTTGCAATCTTTTTTCTTAGTACTTTACTGGTATTCAGTCCCTTTGAAGTCAATGGGAGTTAGCTCTCAGTCTTACTATAATTTATATATTTCCTTAAATTATGTAGCCAAAAGCCAAGATTGACCTCTTCTAATAATATGGTGTTTTATTTAAAATTCTGATAGCAAATAAGTAATAAAAATATTTTTTTATCATTATACATTTTCAACTTTGCTTCCCTAATACCTGGATTTGGTCTTAGAGATTGATCTTTGTTACTGTTATAGAGTATGACTCACATGATTGTTGCTCACCATGACTATTTAATCTTTGACCTGGCTTTCCCAAGAAGGCAAACTAGGTTGTCAATTAGTGCTAATTAGGAACTGTCATTTTGGGAATAGGGATAACATGTGGGTCATGACTACTACTGAGTGCTTTTTTAGAAGTTCAGTATATATATTGCCAGCTAAAATGATAAGTTCCACTGTATATGACTTTTATATTTGCTGGCTACAGCTTGTCCAAAATAGAAAGATGTACAACAGATCAGCAACTACATTTAGAGTTTTCCAGTTTTGTTTTTTACCATTTATCTGCTGACAACCTGTGTTTGGTTTCCAACTGTAAGCTGCTCAGTGTACAACTAAATGATCTGAAGTTGAATTCATCTGTAAAATTTTTACTTTGATATATTTTGAGACCCAAGGATATGAAAATCAAATTTTGTATGAATGTTCTGTGGAAAATATGAAGAAACACAAGTCAGTGCAATTACTTTTCAAGAGGGTAATATTTTTAAGTTTGGTACATACCAGTGTACAATTTAGCTTAACATGCATGTCAACTTAAAAGGGAATTAGCCTGCTAATAATATTTTGATTAAAAAACTTTCCAGTAGAACTTCAATCATGTAAATTTTACAAGAATGAAAAGCAGGAAAATAAAACATTTCCAGACTAATAAAATAATGCAGTATTAAAAGATTGTTGTTAGTGCTAACTATGCTAATTGTAATTATTTAAAGTATATTGATTGTAATGTTACATTGCCCCGGTCCAGGAGACAGATCCAGACTTTTCAGCATTACTTTGGAAATAGCAAGAAATATGCTCAGTTGATTGTAATGGGAAGCAGCTATAGAAGGACTTTCCTACTAGAGATAAAGCAAAATCACATATTTTTGACGATGATGACTCCATCTTTTGATCTTGAAGAAGCAATTTTCTCAGGCTCTTAGACACAAAAGAGACTTCACTAGAATTCCCCTCTCCTCAGAATTCCACTTTTACCATCCTGTTAGAGTCAAGCAACGAAATCATAGTGGTGCTTGTTATATGTCTTAGCAGTAGGTATTCCATATAGCAGCTGGTATTGGAAGCCATGTGACTAGTAGCTGGTGGTAGCCTTCTTAAATTTTATGGATCCACTTTTAAACCTGTCCAGTTTGGTAGTTGTCACCACATCACTTGTGATGAATTTCATAGTTTAACAATATACTTCAGTATCATATATACTCATGTATAGGTTGAGAGCAGGCATGGGAGCCAAAATTATGGATTTTTATATGGCCATAATTTTATAAATCATGGGTCATTCCATGGAGAGAAGACACCAGTGCCACATCAGAGGCTCAGCAGCCCCCGGTTGCACCACCCTTTCCCCACCCAGGCATTCAAAAAGCCCAGAGGAGGTACTACGGCAGAGAGAGTTGAGGGAGTTGATGCTCCTTTAGGTTCTCCCAGGATATAGAAGTTCTTGCCTTTCACCACTGTACTCAGATAATATGATGTTTCCTTTTTCCAATGGACTAATTAAGGAGCAGTTCTCACATTGACCCGTGGGCAAGTCAACTCAGGGTTTTTGGATTGATTCTTTTGGGCTGAAATTTCTAGACTTATACATGAGTATATAGGGTACTTCCTTTTCTCCTTCTTGTAATCTCTTACCACCAAATTTCATTGAATGTCCCTAGGTTCTGTTATTATCTCTTTCCTCATGCCATTGCTCTTTCATGGCCTCTTTTTCCTCACTTTAACCTTTCCCCCTAAGCTACAAAGCTCCAGTCCCATCTCTTTGCAAAGAGGAGTAGCCCTTAAATAATTTGGATTGTCCTTCAGTTTTCATGCTTTAGTGTATTTTTGGGGTATAATGGTTGCAAGAATATACATTTTTGTTGTTGTTGTCACATGATAGATTTGGAAAAAGACTTTATAGTATTTTGAGATTTTAAAGATTTCCTAATAGCCCCCAACACGAAACTTGCATTTTCATAATTAGCAACCATTGTATACAGATTCTCATTGTGTTTTCCACAAATGGCTTAGTTCTTTTTTAAGTTATCAGCAACTTAGGCCCCTTCTGTTGATATGTGAGCTTGTGTTCTGTTTTACCTTAAATGTGCATTCTTTCTTTATTTGCATTACACTGCATTTTCATTATTTTTCACCTGGACCTTTCTTTGCATTTTTTTTGTTTTTAGCACCGTAAAAAAATTGTCATCACAATCCCATAATCCCAAATCCTTTGTAATTTTAGGCTTATTTCTAAGTCACATAATGTGCTGAGGAAGTGATTGTGTGACTATTAGTTACTTGCCAAATCCTGCAGTCCATTCATGTTTGGGGCCACAGGTATTCCTCCAGCCTGACTCATTGTCTCAAAATAGTGGCTCTCTGCAAGTGCTAGAGGTGAAAGAAAAGGGAAGTGAAATAAATTAAATAGAAATATCATCTGGAATGTCAGTCTGAGTAGTACATTGAATGACACTAAAGAACCTCAGTAAATCCCTACTTTTATCACCACATCAGTCCCAGCAGCAGTGAAAAGCATTTTAGAATTGTAATAGTTACAGCTCCTATTCATTCATGATATTTGGTATCTATAATTTAGATTTCTTCCTTCATGTCCACTCTAGATAAGCAACAAAGAGAGATACTATTACCTTTTTGCAATTTAGATTCTATTTACATATCCTTAGTGTTGTTTATTTCAGTCTACAGGGAAAAGGTGAAGCTGGTATCAGTGTTCTGCGAATGTTTAATAAGATATTTGTTTATGAATTCTTAACATTTCATTGTCGCAACTGCATATTTACAGTTCATGCCATCTTTTTCTTATAGATTACTTGCACTAACACTGCACATCAGTCAACTCTAAGGAGAAGAAAAATGACAAAAACTGTACAATCATCAGTCTGAATCACTGACCACTGAATCAGAGCTAGAAGAAGCAACACCAATGCATCAATTTGATTCTACAAACAAAATCAGGTAATTCAGACACAGTGCACATTGACACCATACGATATGAACTCTGATGTAAAACAATAACAGCAGGTACAAATCCACTGGAACACTCAACTGATCTTGGACCAAAAAGGAAACAGATGAGTCAGTCAACACTGCTTTTTTTAAGCTTACATATTCTGTGGAGAAATTTCTTACAGTTGTCTTCATTAGTTGATAATTTTCAGAAATTATTAAGAGAATGTATTATAGGCTGAGATTCCCTCATCCAAAATGTTTGGAATAAAAGGTTCTGGGGTGTTTTTTTTGGGGGGGGGGTAGGAATACCTGTATTTGCGTGTACATAGCAGTCATGGGCCCAGTTACTGTTTCATCTGTTTAATTTATGTTTTGGTACCGTTTTGTTCATTTGGAAAGCACAAAATAGTACACCCCCCTCCGGGACAAAAATATCAGTAAAATGAAAGGAAAATAGGAACAGTAACCGTTCAGTCGGCTGATTTTCAGTGCTTGGCTGTAGGCCCTGGAAGGCGCGAGTGCTTTGGGCCTGCTCGCCACACATGCACTCTCTTTCCAAGGAGAGGGCGTGTGTGATGAGGAGGCCCAAAGTTCCAGAGTCTGCAGCCAAGCTCCGAGCTGTTGTTGTTCATTCGTTCAGTCGTCTCCGACTCTTCGTGACCTCATGGACCAGCCCACGCCAGAGCTCCCTGTCGGCCGTTACCACCCCCAGCTCCCTCAAGGACAGTCCAGTCACTTCAAGGATGCCATCCATCCATCTTGCCCTTGGTCGGCCCCTCTTCCTTTTGCCTTCCACTTTCCCCAGCATAATTGTCTTCTCTAGGCTTTCCTGTCTCCTCATGATGTGGCCAAAGTACTTCAACTTTGTCTCTCATATCCTTCCCTCCAGTGGGCAGTCGGGCTTTATTTCCTGAAATATGGACTGGTTGGATCTTCTCGCAGTCCAAGGCACTCTCAGCACTTTCCTCCAACACAGTTCAAAAGCATCGATCTTCCTTCGCTCAGCCTTCCCTAAGGTCCAGCTCTCACATCCGTAGGTGACTACAGGGAATACCATGGCTTTGACTAGGCGGATCTTTGTTGCCAGTCTGATGTCTCTACTCTTTACTATTTTATCGAGACTGGACATTGCTCTCCTCCCAAGAAGAAGCGTCTTCTGATTTCCTGGCTACAGTCTGCATCTGCAGTAATCTTTGCACCTAGAAATACAAAGTCTGTCACGGCCTCCACGGTTTCTCCCTCTATTTTCCAGTTGTCAATCATTCTTGTTGCCATAATCTTGGTTTTTTTGATGTTTAGCTGCAACCCAGCTTTTGCGCTTTCTTCTTTCACCTTGATTAGAAGGCTCCTCAGCTCCTCCTCGCTTTCGGCCATCAGGGTGGTGTCATCTGCATATCTGAGGTTGTTAATGTTTCTTCCAGCAATTTTCACCCCAGCTTGGCATTCATTAAGCCCCGCACATCGCATGATGTGTTCTGCATACAAATTTAAAAGGTTGGGTGAGAGTATGCAGCCTTGCCGT